TTAGTTCTCCTTCACTTTCTGCCATAAAGGTGGTGTCTTTAGTGAAGCTATTTCAGTCTGTAATAATGGGTGTGTGAAGGATTTTAGACTTATATTCAAAACTTGTTTAATATACATAGAGATAATCAGGGTTTCTTTTTCTTCTTAAGTCCATTTTTATAATTTGTTTTTTTCAAAGGATTTGTTTATCGAAGCTGTTGAATTTTAATTGGCATAAAGTTAATATATTCTTTACTTTCAAGTTTGCAGATTTTGTAGTAATAGCTCCCTTTTCATTTCAAACAGCAGTAATTTGTGTTTTCTTTCTTTTTTCATGTTTAGTTTAAGGAACTTTACTTTTGGTTTTGTTTTCTCTTTTTTGGTCCATTTCCTGTTTGATTTTTTTCCTCTAATCTTTTATTATTTCTTTCACAATTTCTCCTACCTCCTTAAAATACGGACTTTTGTTAAAGTCTTCACAACCTCGTCCAGCACTTACTGGGGCCAGACCTCAAATAAGAAGCCACGAGAAATCAAGGCCCTCTCAACCAGTGCCATTCCCTTTTTCCAGATGGTGAGTCATGTCCAGTTCTTATCTTCAGAATCATTTGAGAGATTCTAATAGGATGGTAGAATTCTAGGAATTTCCCTTCTGTTCCTGTAATGTTAGAAATATGGTTTCTTAGTTCTTTTTGAGATTTACCTTCTCTTTACACCTCTTCCACCTTTACCTGAACTTCTCTTTCTTTAACCTAGATCTTCCTGTCTTATGCAGTTTTTATTCTACTCTCAGTAATTTCTTGTTAGTGTAAAACTTTGTTATGAAAGGGAATCTTGGATGGATGATATTGTAGAAAGTTTTTATGTCTAGACATCAGCCCCAGTGAGTCCTCCCATCATCTTCTTGTACTGCCAATGAAGGCAGTAGGGGCTGTGATGTTGCATCCCATTTTCAGTTATGTTTCTCAGACTGGTCCTTTGAGATTTTTTTTTTCCCTATTGATTCTTGCCAAATGAAACACCTGCCATGGCAACAGTTATTCAGATATGTTTATAAAAGTGCTTCTCCCTCTGTTAATACTATTTCCTTTTTTAAAAAAAATTATTTACTTTAATTGCAGGCTACTTGTCTTCTGAGGGGGATCTGTTTCTCTTTGTGATGAATACTAGTTAGTGGTATCTGGATTCCTTGGATCTCAGGAGTTATCTTGCTGCTGTCACTTGTTTCACTACATCTATTTGTATTTTGAGATGTGAGGCTATAATTTTTCCATTTACTTTGATAAAGAATTTCACAGTGGTTTTGTTTGGTTTAGCAATCAGACCTACTGTGTCCTTTCTATGAGGATTTTGAGAAGACTCAGAAACTACATCACCACTACCACCATCTTCACTTAGCGGTCTTCATTTATTTTTTGAAAAAATAATAAATATATATGTATATATAAAAAGAAGGAAGTTAAAGAGGAAAGAAAAAAGAGAGAAGGCAGGAGAAAGAAAGAAACAAAGTTAACAGAAGTATATTCAGGAAAAATAATGTCTGTCAAACTCTCAGTTCCCATGTCTGCTTTATTCATCTTCAGAAGCAGCTGCTATTATGAGTTAAAGAATTATTCTATGAATATTTATATAATAGATGCATACTTATGCATATATATATGTATATATACCCACATATATATGTTTCTCTTTGTGATGTGTTTGTAACACAGTTGGTAGATTTTTTTTACAATTTTTTAACTTGAAGATTATTTCAGTATGTATAGAACTTCCTCATTCTCGTAAATGGTTGCATGATAAGCCATTTTATGGATGATATGCCATAATTTATTCAACTAGTCTCTATTGATTTTAATGAACTGGATGTTAAATCACAATGAGCATAAAGAACTTCAATGAAGTCATATTTGCATTGTCATAAAGGTACAAAAGTTCTTGGCATATTGGATAATAAACAGTTTTGGTGTGAATTGCACTTTTAAGGCATATCTAATGGGCATAAAAATTTAAAAAGTGATTCTCATAAGCACCAACTATTATTATTGTCCCTCTTTTGCAAGTGGAAAATTAATTTCAGAGGTGAGTGATCTGTCCATATTTCATGTGGTTAGTGAGCAGCAGCATCAGATCTCAATTCAGGGATTTCAACATCCAAATTCTTCTTTTTGACTTCCATGCATGCGGGCTAAGTTGCTTCAGTCGAGTCCGACTCCTTGCAACCCTATGGACTGTAGCTCATCAGGCTCCTCTGTCCATGGGACTCTCCAGGCAAGAATACTGGAGTGGATTGCCATGCCCTCCTCCAGGGGATCTTCCTGACCCAGGGATCGAACCTGCATCTCTTGCATCTCCTGCATTGGCAGTCGGGTTCTTTACTATACCACCACCTAGAAAACCCTTTCACTTCTGCATCAGTCCCCAAATACAGGGCATGCCTAAAACGCAAGAGTTCTGTTCACATATACAAAAACTTAAGTAAAAGGTGGCATATAAGTAAATACAGTATTATTTACAAATCAAACATATCTCATTTGATTAATACTATATGTTTTTTAATATTTTGTAGCTAAAAGTTGAGGCTCCTCCTGGAGAAATAATTGGATATGTTTATCAATACTATCACCCATTTTTGCCGATGTTTAAAATAAAAAATGAAAATAAGGAGAATTTAATGAAAATCAAAGGGCCATGTGTGGTTTCTAGCTGTCTCAAAGATCTAAATTTTAATGTGAGTAATTCATTATGTTTTAGGATATCATGCTCAAATTAGTTAATAATTTGATACTTTTCCAATGAAGATAGTTAATTAATGTGATTAAAACAAAATTAAAACATGTTATAATTATTACTATACCTATTTGCCTAATTTTTAAAATGAATTTCTAATTCATAATTTCTTTGCTTAATTAAGCCTTATAGTTTGTGAAGCTTACAAGGCACCTTTTAATCTATATTATAAGTGTTTAACTATCAAACAAGAAGCTCGTATTTAATATTTGAAAATATTTAAAGAGAAAATTAACTTTATTTCAATAGATAATTACATAATCCAGCATTAATTATAGTTAATATATTAATGCTAATTTTTATAAAATTCTGAAATTGCTATGATACAATTTTGTTAATTTTTATGTACTTACTGATTTACTTCTCAGAAAATGGCCAACATTCAGATAATAATTTAAGAAGTAAACTACTAAATATAGTTAATAAAACTAAATAACCCACTACATTTGTTTAAATCTGTAGATTCCTAAGCAACAGAGAATATTGTCTGGGTATGATAAGATATTCTATTTGAAAAAAGTACTGACTGTCAGCCTTTTATCAGGGATATTTTGCTTTTTTAATATCTGAAATGTATAATCAGAAATTTGGACACAGCCTAGTTAAAATACTGCTTGAGATTTTCTTCCTCCTCTAGAATTATATCAATTCAGTTTAGTGATGCTAATTCTGATTGGCACTTGCATGCACTGATTAAAGAAGGCATGCTTAAAAATTAAATATAATAATAACACTTTATTTGAAAATTTAATAAAATGAGCATACAGGACTCTTATTTTTCTATTTCAAGTTGAAAACCAGTGCAACAGGGTGTTCTGTGCTTAAAACTCTGGAAGGCAAATCTACCTTGCCTCATTTTTAATAATATCAGTGTTTTATCTCACATTATGGTCCAGTAAATTCTACTTTATTCTACTGTCTTAAGAGCTTTCTCTAAGGTATTTAATAGACTCCCTATTCCTTCTAACTTTGAAACAAAGTCATTTTATAGTTGGCACTTGATAGTAACCTCCAAAAGTAAGGAACAAGAAAGGGAGGTAATGATTCTGTAAGAAAGTCATCTTGTGCACAACTGTGGGCGAGTCTTCTAACACTTTTGCTCTGAAAAAGGGGAGAGGTAAAGGAGCAGCTGGTTCTAGAGTAGGACTAGGGTGTGGCAAATAAATGTTTATCTCAGGTGAAAATTACAAGGGGTACCAAAAACCTGGTAATTAAGACAAATTATATTTGAATATATTTATCAATATATTTATCAATATCTGCATCAAAATTAATGCAGAAGTCTATTAGAAACAAATACCAAAACTTTAGATAAGATAGAAGCTAACTCTGCATCTATGTGGCCTGTCTCCCTGTATCACCATAACCTGCTCCTGCCTGGATGGGGGCATGAGTGGCCAGGGAGGGATGTTTGTGAAAGGCATTTCCTTAGTATGCTTTGATTTTAAAGGAAAGAAGCCAAATCGGAGGAAAAATGTGGAGAAACAACAAGAACTGAATATTTGCTGAACTTTGTCTCTTACTTGGTATGGAACCTAAGTCATGTAGGGAACTGGTCTTGAACAGGCATAGAAATGGCCCATTCATCACACTAGAAAGGAAGCAGGGAGTGTTGGTACAGATAGAATAACTTTCTAGGCTGGTGTCTGCAAGTTTATTAAGTTCCTGTCCAGTTGCTCCTATTTTCTCTTCAACGGAAACAATAAGCTATTTTGCTGAAGGTAATAGGGAAAGATGTGTTCAGAGTTCTGGAAAAACTGGATGTTTGACATAATCATGTAAAACTCTTCCATATTTCTATCCTCAATTTCCTTAGCATTACTTACAAGGCTATGCAGACCTAGTCCGCCATGCGTTATCTTTTCTTACTCATTTTATACCACTGTTTCCTTCACTCATTTTCTCCAGCCATGTCCTTTCCTAAATCAGAACCTTTTAACATATAACTGACTCTCTCTAGGAGCTCTCACTTTCCCTATTCCTCTGTCACTAGTTCCTACTGATCCTCCAAATCTCAGCTCAAATGATGCTTTGCCTAAAAGGATTTCTCTAAAATCATTCCTCCTGTTCTTCCAGTCTGCTTATTATCTCCCTATTATACTCCATCATATCACACTTCCTTTCTCTTCTGGCATTCATTACAAAATAAGCAGTGGGATTTATCACAGATGTTTTGTTTTATATTTACATGAGTACCTCTTATATTGAGAAATAACATTACTTGTGTATTTTAGTTATTGTCACTGGATGAAGAAATGATTATTGGTAAGATTTCAAATCAGTGGATTGGATTTATGAGGGAACTTTTCACCAATACCAATAAATTTGGGATCCAGTTTCCATTTGATCTTGATGTTAGAATAAAAGCATTGATGCTTGGAGCAAGTTTCCTCATTGTGAGTCTATTTTCATTCTATTTAGCTGCACATTAATTTTCTGAGATTATCACTATACTTTTGCTATTATTTTCCTCAAATCACCTAGATCAATTGCAATCTGTGCTTTTGGTCTAGTCCAAGGTCCCCAAATTACATCATGGATTGAGTGTTCACACTGCAAAGGAAATAAAAGCCAGAATGTCCTGGAAATGTGATCATTAGAGTTGAATTCCTTTGCCTTAATGAGAAATAAGAGTAAGTCACTGAAAATAAGAATACAATGTCTCATTCAATGTAATTTACTGTTATTTTTTCAGTGGTAAGAAGCCATTTGCCAATGCAGGAGACTCAGGAGACTCGAATTCAATCCCTGGGTCAGCAAGATTCTCTGGAGGAGGAAATGGCAACCCACTCCAATATTCTTGCCTGGGAAATCCCATGGACTGAGGAGTCTGATAGTCTACGGTCCATGGGGTTGCAAAGAGTCAGACACAACTGAGCAACTGACCACACACATACACCAAAAATTAAAAATTTTACAATAAGAACTTTTTAAAGAAGTTCATTGAAAAAGGTAATCATTGCTCATTTAGAAACCATAGATATGTAGAAATATTTAAAAAGATTTCATTGAGTCTTAGGAGAAAATGAATATAGCAACTATCTTCGTTCTCCAAATATTATGAAATAACAGGAAATAGCAGAAGAAGTGTGCAGGAATGTGTCATACAGTATTAAGTAATTTGGAGAAGGAGAAAAATAAATAGCAGATCAAATGTAGCTGAGGAAAAATTAGTGAACTGGGATATGTAGTTGAGGAAATTATTCATAATAACCTACAGAGACAAGGAAATATGAAAGTTAAGAGTCTCAAGATAGGATAGGGAATAATAACTGCTAAAAAAAATTTCCAGAAGAAATACAAATTCAGTGAAGCAAAAAGGACAACATATCTTAAGTAATATAATTAAAAATTAACATCTATATAAATCACAGTGAGGTAGAAAAACAGTAAAGAAAAATAAGTAACCAGACAGAAAAGAAAAATCTACTACAAACAATAGACTGACAATTGCCTTCTTAATAGAAAGAGTGGAAGCCAGAGAGAATAGAATAATAGCTTCAAAGTATTGATTTAAAAAACAATTTTAACTCTCAATTTCAATTTTCTTCAAGAATATCTCAAGGAGAAGAGCAAAATAAATAAGTTTTTTTTTTAATCACATTTTTTACACACATAGATCATTTCTAAAGGAGATAATTCAGGAAGAAGGGACATAATCTGAGAATAATCATCTGAGGTTCAATAATACGAACAAATAAAATGCTAACTATATTTGTGAATGTAAATGTGTTTTTACAAATAAATAGCAGAAGAGGTTCAAGACAGCAGCATAAGAACCACCTGAATTCACCTTCTCCCATGGACACATCAAATTAACTCCTACATGAGGAATAACTGTAGCTTCCCCAGTGGCTCAGTGGTAAAGAATTTTGCCTGCAATGCAGCAGATGAAGGAATCATACATGACTGAAGCAACTGAGCACACATGCATGTACATGGGATATTTCCCTCTGAAAAAGAGCCTGAGAACTAGCTAAACAACTCTTCAATGATGAAGGATAAAAAGATCAATATAGGATGGAGAAACAGAGATGTGTTCTCACCAAAAAAATGCATACCTGGTGTGGTGACACACAATTGGGAGGGGTCTCACAAATACAGAGCTTATCCCTAGAAGCAAAGGGTTGGTGCCTACCTCAGGCACTCCAAGTCCAAGTCTTGGGACCTGTGCTGGAGAAATGAGCCCCCAGACATCTGGCCTTGGAAACCAATAGGGCCAAGATACAGGAGATTCAAAGCACTGCAGGGAACAGAGATTCCTCTCTTAAAGGGCTTACATGCAGACTCACCCCAAGACAGCACATAAAGATGCAGTTTGAAAAACATCTAAAGGATATTAGCTAGTGAAGGGGATTCACTAGCTAGTCTTAAAGTGTGTTCCAGAGGGAAAAGGGCCTGTTGAGACTTTCCAGATAAAGTGCTAGCATTTTATGCTTTTATGTTCTCATTCTACGTTGTAAGGGCCAGCACTAGTAGGTGCCAGTTTTGCTACTGTGCTAGTGCCGGTGGTCATACTCTGCCGGCGGCCTTGTTAAAGCCCACAGGCATCCCTTGGCTCCAAGCTCACCTGCAGTCCTGCTAAAGCCAACAGATATATACAGTCAACACAGGGGGATAACCCTTGATCACCTGACTCTGGTGGCCAGGGGTGCTTGGGCTTCTGGGCCCCAAGTGACTGAAACAGTCTGAGAGATAGTTCTTAGCAGGCTACCATGTGCCAGACCATGACATAGATGGGAGGCTAAAACAGAGCCCTAGTCTTCCTGTGAAAAGGGCTTCTTTACTTGGGCTGGAGCCTCAGCTTGAGGGGCAGGTTTACCATACATCTAGAGGCTATGAAGTTGTTCTCAGGGAACATAGGCTGGGGGTTCTATATTTTTACTCTTTTGGTCTTGCTTCAGCTCATGGCACTTTTGCTAGGAAGGAGGTTACACACTCATCTAGAGTCCCAGTGTCTGTAAGTGTCACTAAGGGATGCATCCACATTACTTGACTTGGAGTCCAGCAGAGTTTATGACTATCCTCCCAAAGAACGGTATATATTTACCTACCCTAACAATTGCTGCTTGAGGAAATGGCATCCAGTGAGCCTGAAACCAGGTCCTGACAGATGCCTCCTTTGAACACTGAAAAGTCTTGATTTCAACCACTGGGACCTATCAACAACAAATCTGGGTGCTTAGATAATCACAAAAGTTTGAGAGATAACTAAGAGCAAGGGTTAGGTAAATGATAAGGTTCATCTCCTATACACGAGCATTCCTTCAAGACTGGGAGACGTAGCTGCTTTGCCTAACATAACACAGAGTCAAGCAAAATGAAGAAACAGAGAAATACACTCCAAATGAAAGAACAAGATAAAACATAAGAAAATAAAATTTAATGAAATGGAGATAAATAACTTACCTAATAAAGAGCTCAAAATAATGGTCCATAGCATTCAGAAGACTGAATGAACACAGTACATTTTTATACTCTGCAAAAAAAACCCCATTAGAACTAATAAATAAATTCAGTAAAGTTGCAGGTACAAAACCAATATACAAAAACCTGTTGTGTTTTTATGCACTAGAAATGAACTATCAGAAAGAAAACGTAAGAAAACAATCTTATTTACAATGAAATCAAGAAGAATAAAATAACTAGAAATAAGTTTACCAAAAAGTGAAAGACCTGTACACTGAAAACTATAAGACATTGATGAACAACTGAAGAAGACAAATAAATGGAAAGATACTACATGTTTGTGGGTTGGAAGAATTAGTTCAGTTCAGTCACTCAGTCATGTCCAACTCTTTGCGACCCCATGGACTGCATAACGCCAGGCTTCCCTGAACATCACCAACTCCCGGAGTCTGCTCAAATTAATGTGCATCAAGTCAGTTATGCCATCCAACCATCTTGTCCTCTGTCATCCCTTTCTCCTCCTGCCTTCAATCTTTCCCAGCATCAGAGTCTTTTCATATGAGTCAGCTCTTCGCATCAGGTGGCCAAAGTATTGGAGTTCCAGCTTTGGCATCAGCCCTACCAAGGAATATTCAGGGCTCATTTCCTTTAGGATTTACTGGTTGGATCTCCTTGCAGCCCAAGGGACTCTCAAAAGTCTTCTCCAATACCACAGTTCAAAAGCATCAATTCTTTGGCACTCAGCTTTCTTTATTTCAACTCTCACATCCATACGTGACTACTAGAAAATCCATAGCTTTCACTATATGGACTTCTGTTGTCAAAGTAATATCTCTGCTTTTTAATATGCTGTCTAGGTTGCTCATAGCTTTTCTTCCAAGGAGCAAACGTCTTTTAATTTCATGGCTGCAGTCACCATCTGCAGTGATTTTGGAGCCCAAAAATAGTCCTTCAGTGTTTCCATTGTTTCCCCATCTATTTGCTATGAAGTGATGGGACCAGATGCCATGATCTTAGTTTTCTGAATGATGAGTTTTAAGCCAACTTTTTCACTTTCTTCTTTCACTTTCACTGGTCCATATTTCCTAAAGTAGATAGAACAAATAATCCTAAAATATATATGGAACCATAAAAGATACTGAAAGTCAAAGCAATCTTGAGAATGAAGTACAACTCTGTGGGCATGATGCTCCCTGATTTCAAATGATATTAAAAAGTCATAGTATTCAAACAAGTTTGGTATTTGTATAAAAAAAGATACATAGATAATGAAAAGGCATAGTAACCTCAGAAATAATGCATGCATATATGATTGATTTATGACAAAGGAGCCAAGAATATACAAAGGGGAAAGTATTGGCTCTTCAATAAATGTTAATAAAACTGAATAGTCACATGCAAAAAAATAAAATTAGACTACTGTCTTATACCATTCACCAAAATCAACTTAAAATGTTTTAAAGAATTAAATATAAGACCAGAGACCATAAAAATCCTACAAGAAAACAGAGGTGATGAACTCCTTGATATTGGTCTAAATAAGGAATTTTTGGATCTGACTCTAAAGGCAAGGGCAACAAGAGCAAACTAAACACATGGCTTTATTTCTTGTTTTTTAAGGAATCTCCATACTGTTTTGCATAGTGGCTTTATCAATTTACATTTCTACCAACAGTGCAAGAGTTTTCCCTTTTCTCCACATCCTCTCCAGCATTTATTATTTGTAGATTTTTTTATGATGGCCATTTTGACTGGTGTGAGATGATACCTCATGGTAGTTTTGATTTGCATTTCCCTAATAATAAGCAGTGTTGACCCAGCAGTCCCACTACTGGGTATTTATCCTGAGAAAACCATAATTCAAAAAGACACATGTACCCCAATGTTCATAGCACCACTGTTTACAATAGCTATGACAAGGAAGCAACCTGGATGTCCATTGATAGATGCATGGATAAAGAAGTTGTACACACACACACACACACACACACACACACATATATATATATATAATGGAATATTACTCAGCCACCAAAAGAAATGAATTTTAGTCAGTCGAAGTGAAGTAGATAAACCTAAAGCCTGTTCAATGGAGTGAAGTGAGTCAGAAAGAGAAAAACAAGCATTGTTAATATATATATAGCATATATTTGAGGGACGCTCAAAAGGCAGATATATGTATGCAGCAGAAACCAGCACAACACTGTAAAGCACTTATCATCCAATTAAAAATAAACAAACAACACCGGAAACTACATCAGACTGAAAGCTTCTGAATAGCAAGGACCCCATCATCAAATGAAAAGGCAACCTACTGAATGAGAGATGTCTGCAAATTTATGTCAAATAAACGTTAATATCCAAAGTATAATTAGAACTCATACAGCTAGGTAGTTAAGAATAAACTAACAGTATAATTTTTAAATGGGAAGAGAATCTGAATGGACATTTTCCCAAAGAAGACATGCACATGGCCAAGAGACACATGAAAAGATGCTCAACATCATTAATCATCAGGGAAATGTAAATTAAAACTTCAATGAGATGTCACCTCACATCTGTTTGAATCACTGCTATCTAAAAGGCAAGAAATAACAAGTGTTGGCAAGCACTTGGATAAAAAAGAATCTGTATACACTATTGGTGAGAATGTAAACTGGTGCAACTACTATGGTAAATTCTATGCAGGTACCTCAAAAAAATAAAAATATAACTTCCATATGATTCAGCAATTCTACTTCTGGATATTTACCCTAACAAAATAAAAACTTTACCTTGAAAAGACATTTGCACTCTCATGTTCATTGCAGCATTATTTAAAGTAGCCAAGTTATGGAAAACAATGTAAACATCCATCAATAGATGAAAGGACAAAGAAGACGTGGCACACCCATGAGAGACTACTATTTAGCTGTAGAAAACACGGAAATAAGTCAGAGCAAGAAAGGCAAATGTCACATGACTTCACTTGCATGTGGAATTTAAAAGACAAAACACACAAAACTGAACCACATTAAACTAATAGAAGACACTGGAGAACAGGCAAAACAGGGGGAAGGAATCAAGATGTAAAAACTTTCTACTTATAAAATAAATAAGTGGATATGATATACAGCATGGTGACTCTAATAATATTGTACTGTATATTTGAAAAGTGCTAATATAATACATTTTAAAAGTTCTGTTTACAAGAAAACATGTTGTAACTTTATATGGTGGTAGATCGTAACTGAACTTAATGTGGTGATCATTTTGCAGTGTATACAAATATCAAATCATTATGTTGTACATCTGAAACTAATACAATATTTTATGTCAATTGTGTCTCATAAAAACAATAGTAGCAAATGTCTAATTTGTGAGATCAAAAAAAGCAACACTAAAATAATAGGCAACAAAAGTAAATAAGCTGTGAGAAAATCACTAGAATTAAAATGTCATAAGGTCTTTGTATTAAGTTAAATATGCATGTTAAATATGAGTTAAATATGCATGCATTTAACATGCATGAGTTAAATATGCATGTTAATTTCATGGACAACCACTGAATAAATGAAAGGACTTAATAAATTGCAAACTAGTAGAGAGGAGAAATGGGAATAAAATACAGGCAAGCAAACAAATGAGTGAAAGAATCTATTTAGGGGAAAAACCAAGACGAAAAAAGCATAGACAAAGTGTGACAAATAGAAACAGGAAATTACAATGGTAGAAAATAGCTACCTATTCAGGTATATCAATATGTCAATTAAATGTATTCTATACAATATCTTGGGCTTCCCTTGTAGCTCAGTTGGTAAAGAACCTGCCTGCAATGCAGGAGGCTCGGGTTCAATTCTTGGGTTGGGAAGATCCCCTGGAGAAGGAAATGGCAACCCACTCCAGTATTTCTTGCCTGGAGAATCCCATGGACAGAGGAGTCTGGCAGGCTACATACAGTCCATGGGGTTGCAAGAATTGGACACAACTTAGCAACTAAACCAACACCACCACACAATATCTTATAATACCTACAATAAATGTAAATGGCCGAATATTGCAAGTAAAAGAATAGATACGGTTCGATTTGAGTTTTAAAATATTCAGAGGCTCTGTATAGGAGACAGACCTAAAATAAAGACAAAAAAATTGAAAGAAAGAAAATATGGGATAAATTAGCAGAAAAATGCTAACCATAAGTAAGCTAATAAAGCAAGGTCACTATCAGGAAAAAAAAAATAGACGTTAGGACAAAAAAACACTATTGGGGCAGACAGAGGGTAACTACATAATGATAAAAGTTTTACTCAGAAGATACAATAATTCTAGGCTTTTGTGTACCTAATATAAACCTCAAAATATAGAGAAATATGTTATATAGTTAGTGAGAACCTCATCATCATAGTGGAAAATTCATACAGCTTTTAATTTTTACTCATTGTAGAAGACAGAACCTTAGTAAACTTATTTAAATTTGAACAAAAAAATTAAGAAGCTTGATATAAAGAATGTATGTAGAACTCTGTATCAAGCAAGTAGATAATATAGTTTCAACAAACATTTTTTTATAAAAATTTTTCTCATAATAGGTCAAGAGGAAGCTTCAACATATTTCAGAGAATGGGTAATAATTTGGACCTTAGTGTCTAAGCAAGTAACAGTAAATTAGATGTTGATTAAAATACACATTTAAAAATATTTTGTACAGGAAAACATGTAAATAAGTCAGGGATAAAAAGTAACACAATAAAAATTTTAAAATACATTAAATTAAATAATATTACATTTTAAAACTTTTAGAATGCAACTAAAAGTGTTAAAAAGAATAATATAGCTATAGATACTTTTGAAGAAGAGAAAAAAGTGAAAAAATAATGAACCTAATATCTATATAAAAGCTTAGTAAAAGAGCAGAACAAACCCAAAGGAAGCATAAGGAAAGAAGTATTGAATTACTGATCAAAGATAAATGAACAAATGGCATTTACACCTGGTTTCTAGATAGAAAAGAACTTTCAAAGCAATTAAGTCACAGAGTAAAAGACTGCTAAATTAGAATATCTTAACTTCTGTGCGTGTGTGCTCAATAGCTCAGTCATGTCCAACTCTTTGCAACTCCATAGACTGCAGCCCACCAGGCTCCTTGTCCATGGAATTTTCCAGGCAAGAATACTGGAGTAGGTTGACATTTCCTACTCCAGATCTTAAACTTCTGTACCTCAAGACAAATCATAATATTAAACTTTCAAAAGCAAAAATAAAGTAACTAAAATATATGATTCATATATGACCAAGAAATAATATCATTAAGTGACAAAAAAAATCAAATCCCAAATGAAATGGATATAGAATATTAAAAACTAGTTAATACAGCCATTAATAAGGCAATACAGATAACCAGTAACTATATGAAAATCTTTTCAAAAACATATGAAGTAAAGGAATAAACAACAATGAATTATCTCTTTTAATTTTTTTCTCCCAATCAGGTTGCAGGAATCAGAAACTCAAGAGCTATACATACAACTTTGGGGGGACAAACTGAAAATATCCATCAAAAATTATAATGTTGATATTTGTTCATATGTATTGCTTTCTTCCAAAAAATTAAGAGATGCGGACAATTATGTAGGGCTCCCCTGGTGTTACAATGGTAAAGAATCCACCTACAACGCAGAAGCTGCATGAGATGCAAGTTCAATCCCTGGGTTAGGACTATCCCCTGGAGAAGAAAATGCAACCCACTCCATTATTCTTGCAGAAATTCCATGGACAGAGGAGCCTAGCAGGTTATAGTCCACAGGTCACAAAAGAGCTAGACACAACTTAGTGACTAAACAACAACAAACAATTCTGTGTACTCTAGTAAACAGAAATGTATACCCTATGTTGCAAAATTCATTCAAATAAATAAAAAATGTTAAAATCTAAAATGTAAGGTAAGAGATTTATGAATCACATTATAAACTATCTATGAAGTAGAATGTTAACAACTCAAATGCTAAATGATATGAATATTCAGTGTATATTATTTAATGAAAAAAGTAGGATATAAGTATATTATAATGCTAATTATGTACCCAGAAGGAATTTAAACCAAACTGTTAATGGTGGATCTTGGAGAATTGAAATTATACATTTTTCCCTTTTGTATTTCTTTATTTTTCTGTATTGAGTATAAATGAATGAAAAAATACAAAGGAAAAGAAAGTAAGGTGAAATTAGTTGCTGTTCTCTAAGGGAAACATTCATATTATATTCAAATTTATTATTTTGGTGTATTAAGAGTAGTCAAATAATCATACTTAATCCCTTAGAAGTTGCCTGTCACTGCTATTAAACCAGCCTAATCATATTTGTGTTTCATTTTCATCCTAGGACTACATGTATTTTGAACTCTGGTCATAAAAGTCAGCCTGAAAAATCATGCCAGATATTACTGGCATTAAGTTTTGCCAGTCCTCATCAAAATTAAACAACTTTTACTTAGAATATATAATAAAGTTTTATTTCACTAAAATTATTTGTATGATTTTTTTCTACATAATAGGACATACAGCATTTAATTTTCTACATAATGAACCACACCAAAAATTTAGGAACTTAAAAATTATCATTGAAAACAAAAATAAACAAATGGAACCTAATAAAACTTATAAGCTTTTGTACAGTAAAGGAAACCCATCAACAAAACGAAAGACAACCTACAGACTGGAAGAAATATTTGCAAATGATACAATCAACAAGGACTTAATTTCCAAAATATACAAATAGCTCATACAACTCAATAACAAAAAAGCAAACAACCCAGTCAAAAAACGGGCAGAAGACTTAAGGGGCATTTCTCTAAAGGAGACGTAGAGATGGCCAATAGACACATGAAAAAATGCTTAGTATCATTAATTAATAGAGAAATGCAGATCAAAATTACAATGATGTATCATCTCACATGAGTCAGAATGGCCATCATCAAATGACAAATAGAGAGGATGTGGAGAAAAGGGAACCCTCTTACACTGTTAGTGGGAATATAAATTAGTGCAGCCACTATAGCAAACAGTATAGAGGCTCCTTAAAAAACTAAAAAGAGCATTGTCATATGATCCTGCAAAGCCACTCCTGGGCACATATTTAGAGAATACTCTGAATTCATAAAGATCCATGCACCCCGATGTTAAAGCAGCACTGTTTACCATAGCCAAGACATGGAGACAACCTAAATGTCCAATTACAGATGAATGGATAAACAAGATGCACTACATATACACAATAGAGTACTATTCAGCCATAAAAACAATGGAATAATGCCATTTGCAGCAATATACATGAACATAGAGAAACATACTAAGTAAGCTAGATAGAGGAATGACAAATGGCATATGATATCACTTACAAGTGTAAACTAAATAGAAAATGATACAAATGAAGTTATTTACAAAATAGAAATAGACCCATAGACACAGAAGAAAAACTTATGGTTACCAAAGCGGAAAGGGACATAGGGATAAATTAGGAGTTTGTGATTACCATATACACATATACCATTTTATATAAAATAGGCAACCAACAAGGATTTACTCTACAGCACAGGGATTTATATATGTATAACTGAATCAATCTGTTTTATACCTGATGGTAACACAACATTATGAATCAACTATTCAGACATGACTTAGGGACTAGACAACAAAAATATACTTCAATGAAAAAAAAAAAAAAAGATCATTGTATTTAGCTGAGTATTCTGCTGCATAATTCTCCTCATCAAGACCTGGATCATTCATGCATGTGCAGTCACTTAACAGATTGACTGTGAACTGTCTCATCCCAGATGGTCTCATTCATATGTCTGGCTGTTGCCTAAGTTAGTAGGGGCATCAGGCCACATAGTTTTCATAATCTAGAAGGCTAGCCAAAACTTTTACACATGATGACTATATTGGAAAAGCAGCAGGAAAGCAAGCTCAAATGTTCACTCATCCCAAACCTGTTTCTATTATACCTACAAATGCCCCTTAGCCAGAGCAAGTCAAATAGCCAAGTCCAGATTCAAGAAGTGGAAAAATAGACTCTACTTCTTTATGGGAAATGCTGAAAAATACTGTGGCTTTTTCTCCCCTTCTACCATTTTTTATTCTCCCCTTTTGCCCCGTCCACCCTCTGGTTATAGCTATTTCATTCTCCCCACATGCAAAGTATTCTCAACCTTCCCAGAACTTCTAAAATTCTCTTTCACTTACAGCATCAGGTTGAAGTCCAGTATCATGTGATTTGCATCATTTGTGAATGCAAGCAAGGGTACCTGGATATAGTTCCTCTTGACTCAGAGACGTCAAAACTAAAGAGACACACCAAACAATAGTGCTGTGTTATGTGCCATGCTCAGTCGTGTCCGACTCCGTGGACTGTGAGCCAAGGTGGAAATAACTACAGTAAACAAATGGAGCTGATCCACAGCAATTTTAGAACTCAGATGGACATGTGCTGCCAGCTCCCCTTACTCTAGGAACAGAGAGTGTTCTGCCCTCGAGCTGCGCTCTCTCATCCACTGTTCTCTGTAGCTATGCCCTCGGGGATTTGGGCTCTGCCTTCTGGGACATTTTCCTTTTCTAAATGAAATGGCTGTGTTTTTAACTGAATAGTTTTGTTGCCCTTTTCCTACTTATAGAAAGTTGGAGATAGAAGTCTTTTAATTTTAAACTGTCTCAGTCTCTTTTAAGTCTATGTCAATATAACTCTTAAAAACTGTGTGGCTTTCCATGTATCAGATTTAGCTCACTATATTAGAAAAAGCTACATTCAGTCTTCTTTCCAGGACAGGTTTCTATCTCTGAATTTACTAATAGCTAGTCTAGTTTCTTTATATGTAGCTGGGTTCTAAAAGCAACCAGAGGACACAACCTTATGCATAAGCACTTTTCAAGCCTCTGCTTACATCATCTGCAAATGTCCCATTGGCTAACTCAGGTCACATGTCTAAATCCACATTCAGTGGACTTTTAAAGATATCCCATTCCTTGATTTGAGGCACTGTAAAATATTGTGAATGTTTTTTTCACAATCCACCACATTATTTAATGGGTGATTTTTCTTGATTTGAGTGTGCCATAGATTGAATATTTCTGTCCCTCCCAACTGACATTTTGAAACTTAATCTCCAATGTGATAATATTTGGCAGTGGGACCTGTAGAAGGTGATTCATTCATGAGAATAGAGCCTGCATGAATGGGATTGGGGCCCATATAAAAGGGCCCCCTCAGGGAGCTCCCTTGCCCTTTCACCATGTGAAGGTATTGCGAAAGAGTGTAGTTCAGGAAGGGGAGCCTCATCAGACACTTAATCTGCCAGCATCTTGATCTTGAACTTCCCAGATTTCAGAACTGTGAGAAGTAAATGTCTGTTGTTTATAAGCCACTCAGTCTGTGGCATTCTGTTATGGCAGCCTAAACCAACTAAGTCAGTGTCATCTAAAAATAGTCGTGTTTTCTTCTTCTTTTCCCACTTTTGGATATTTATTGAAGAAAACAAAAACACTAACTTGTAGGAGACAGGAAGAATAGAAGAAAAGCAGGCCCCAGCATGTGCCGCAGAAGAAATTTATAATTATTGATAAACTGGATGCTTCAAGGCGTGAGACTCATGGACTAAGTTCAGAGGGAACAGTTCATAATCTGGAAAACAAGATATGATCCTGGGGTCGGAAAACTGACCCCAGACTGTTTCCCAAATGGTATCTCAGAGTCACATGTTTTACATATCTGAAGGAAAATCTATAGATAAGAATATTAGTCTTAGTTACTAACTTGTTATTGGTTACTGTTTCTTGATTACTTAATGGTTAATGATCACTTTGTTCTTTGGCCCTGAAGGCCACATGAGTTATAGCTTAACTCCCTGCACATTCTTTCCTTCACGACTGAGAGTATAATAAAGCTGGTATGGATTCAGTTTCTGCACCCTCACCTTGGAGCGGTGTTGGTCCCCTGATCCTCACCTTTCACTGAACTCATGTGTCTCGTTTCTCATTCTCCCGCCGCACCACGCTTTCAGAAACCTGCTTGTTGAACCGGACTTGACACTAACTGGAAAAGATACATGTACCCCGACGCTCACTGTGGTGTTGTTCAGTCACTCAGTTGTGCCCAGCTCTTTGTGGGCCCGTGGGCTGCAGCACTGCAGGATTCCTTGTCCTTCACCATCTCCCAGAGCTTGCTCAAACTCATGTCCGTCCAATCAGTGATCCCATTCCAACCATCTTGCCCTCTGTCGTCCCCTTCTCCCTCTGCCTTCAGTCTTTCCCAGCATCAGGATCTCTCCTGATGAGTCAACTCTTCACATCAGGTGGCCAAAGTATTGGAGCTTCAGCTTCAGCATCAGTATGTTCATTGAGGTGAATATGATTTCTGGTGTCCCTTTATCGGAAGTTAGTCAAGGTTTTTTCCTCCTACTCCTGTGTTTCAGGGGTACATCTTGAAGAAGTCAGTGGGTAAACTGCTGCATATTTCTAAGATTCAAACTCATAAATTTCTTTGGGTGCACAGGCTAATTTTCCCCAGGTAGTGTTAACGGAAAGTCAGGTCTGGCTGCTCAACACTTGAAAGCCAATAGTCCAGAGGCAAGGTTGGTCAAAAGTTTGCTCTACTTTGCATACCAGCAACTGTTGGAGAGAGTCCACATGTCCAAAGGCCCACTCCCTGCTGACAATTGAAGACAAGAATTTTTAAATGGGGAGTTTCCGGGGTGTATAGGAAAAAGGAAGGGACTCCAGACAGAAACAGCAGTCAGCTCTGACAGTCATCTTGAAATTGGTCATGTGATTCTCTGACCAGCATCATCCTGATTGTTTTAAGTACAGTTAATATTCAGGTCCAGGATCACTTTTTTTCCAGTTTCTCTGAGGCCAGGTCTTGGAATTGTGCCACCTATGCCAAGGACAGTCTGGTCCTCCTGCAGTTAACTTCTTCTGTCAGGTAGGGTTTTTAGTTTCTACAAAACAGCTCAAAGCATATGGCTCAGAACATTATTTACAGTCTTTGTAGAGGAACTAAAGGTCCTCAACTTTGCATAATGACTAAATATAATTATTTTATCCTGTTTGATTTCCTTTGTTTATGGATTTTCTCACTTCTTAGATTAAATATTCTTTAAAGTTTTTCTACAGACAAAAGGCAGGCTGAGGACATTGGGGGCAGAGGGCGGAAGGATTATAAGGTCCTGCTCTGTTTCAGTAGTAAGTGAAAGAGTCAAGTGCCTCTGAGAGTCAGGATAGTGGAAGCACACAAGAGAAAAATTAGAAAGATTCTCTAAGAATAATGCAAATTTATCTGATGTTTGTGCACATATGAGAAAAAGGTTTTGATGAAAACTCTTCAGGTGAACGTGCATATTATCTGTAAATACATCGATG